TTGTCCCCCCCCCCCCCCCCCCCCCCCACGGGTATAATAAATTTTGTAATATTGATTTTTTAAGAATGCGTAATTCAAATGTAGGAAAAGTTTTGGGTTGCATAATATTTTATTGTGTAAACGTGTGGTTCAAAATAAGTTTTGAAAAATTGGGGATCAAACATGGGCTTAATAGGTTTTTTCCTTACAATCAGGGAATTGCATTTTTTTTTTTTCCTTTCAAGTTTACCTCTACTTTGTAGAATCTCTGCAGCCTGAAATGTAGTGTTATGCGAACTTTTACTGACTGATTTGTTGTGGTTATTTTATAATAGCTGGTTGTCGTCATTAATATTGATACATTTTGGAGTGCTGATCTTTGATTGGAGGCATGTTTCAATCACTTGCTTTCTCTTTTTAATTGACCTTCTCCACCCCGGATTCTTTGTTTGCTTATGTATTATATACCTAATAGATACGTGTGGTAATTTAATAGGCCGTAGGTGGCTGCGCAGAACTACAGTGAAAGATGAAGTTGGACGTTGACGTTCTTCGATATCTCTCGAAAGATGACTTCAGGGTGCTCACGGCGGTTGAAATGGGCATGCGCAATGTATGTTTCCTCATTTTCCCTCTGCCTTTTACCTTGTATACTGACAATATTTACAACCGGACATTTATTTCTAGTTGTTAATAGTTGATTTCATTTTTCCATTATCTGTTGGGATCAGCACGAAGTTGTACCATCAGAGTTAATAGACCGAATTGCATGCCTCAAGTGAGTAACTTTTTCTTATTTTGTTTTTGTGTATATGTGTGTTTATATCATAAATTAGTAATAGAGTATTGTGATTAATTTGTGTATTGTGCATATGATATAGGCATGGGGGTACTTATAAAGTGTTGAAGAATTTGCTTAAGCACAAGCTCTTGCACCACGACTCATCCAAATGTTAGTGGTTCATTCTTATTTTCTTTGTTTTTGTTATCATTAAATATTCTTGATTGCTTATTTCGGTCAAAACTATAAATGTGCTTCATCCACTGTTGCACTATCCGCGTTTCCGGGTTATGGAGTGTCCTTCATGCCTACCATGTTGATAAGAGCTGCTTTTCTGTTGGAGGATTAAGGTTTACAGTTTTGTCTGGGAATAAAAGTTGGTTGATGGCGCCACATTTTTTTATGTGGATTGACATGGAGCGAGAGGAACGGTAGAGCTTTTCTAGAAGTGGTGAATTTTATCTGGAAACTGAAGTGCTTTTTGCCTTCATCTATTAACTTGATCCCTAATTGTGTGAATGCCCAGATGGACTTTCTTGAGAGCACAAATAGCTGTAAAGCTTATATATTGCTTTCTATGTACTGCTTGTGTACCTTTTCTGTGCCAAATGAAAACTGACTTTATGTGGTGTATAATTATGCAGATGACGGCTTTCGGCTCACTTACCTTGGCTATGATTTTCTTGCAATAAAGACAATGGTTAATCGTGGAATTTTTACTGGTGTTGGTCGTCAAATTGGTGTTGGGAAGGAGTCTGGTATTATTACTATCACAAACATTAATTATTCAAGTTGTACTTGTATCATTTCTTTAGTTTGTTGCTTAACAGTTTGTTATTTAATTGGTTTCTATTTTGAAGACATATTTGAGGTTGTGAAGGAAGATGGTACTGTTCTTGCAATGAAGCTTCACAGGCTTGGTAGAGTTTCCTTTAGGGCAGTCAAATCTAAACGTGATTATTTGAGGCATCGCAGTAGCTATAACTGGTTGTACTTGTCTAGGCTTGCTGCTCTTAAGGAATTTGCCTTTATGAAGGTTCAGTGATGCTGGACGTTATTTTTTCCTCTCTTTCATTGTCATTTTGTTTACTGAGGTGGTGAGAGTTTGAGAATGGTAGTTTCCTTATTGCTGGGTTGTTTACTTTTTCTTGTGCAGGCCCTGGAAGAACACGGTTTTCCTGTTCCAAATGCTGTGGATTGCAATCGGCACTGTGTTGTTATGTCACTTGTCCGAGGTTATCCACTGTGAGTGTTTAGTTAGTTCCAAATGCCTTTGTCCATATTTCTGGAAATGTCTAATAAATTTTGGTTAAGTATTTACGTGCCTGAAGATGCATTTTATTGCATTACAGTTGTACTGTTTTCTGTTCTTGATTCTTTTGCTTTAACACTGAAGAAATGTGAAAGCAATGCATCCTTACAAAGAACATATGAAAGAGGGTAATTATTTTCTACATGTGCTAACGGTTAAGACTTATTTTTGAGTATTAATAAAAGGTTTTTCTATTTTAACCTTTAATTCCCTTTAGCTTAAAAAAAATAAGAGGAAAAATGAATGACTTCCAAAAGTGGATGTTATGCAAGACACACAAAAAAAAAAAAAAAAAAAAGTGAATTTAAAAGAAAAGGGTTTGAAATGACGAAAGAGGTATAGATGGAGATAGTAATATGGCATGGGGTGGGGTGGATAGTTGCATATGAAACTTCCAAAGGGAGGTATTAGGAGAGTTTTAGGTAAACGCTACTTAGTAAGGACATGATCGTGGAACGACAAGGTTCAAATGACTGCTTAGACTAAAGAAGTACGTTGCAGAAACTTATCAAAATATAAAATCAGGTTGATTGTTGTGTACGCACTCATATAGAGTGGAACACATGTATTTTCTTGTACGGGCCTTAAAGTCTTGAATTGGTCTAAGCTAGGATTAGTATAAATAATAATGTTGTAACCCTATTTTTTATACCGAATAAAAAAATTATTATTTCCGTTTCGCTCTCGTGGACGTAGGCACACCGCCGAACCACGTAAATACTTGTGTTGATTTTTTTCTTTCATCTCTTTATTATTGCGCGTAAAATCCAACAAGGATAGATTGATCTTGATAGGCGAGAGGCTTTTATAAAGATGAATCAGGCTTTTTGGTAGTATTGGTGAACCAATTGGCCATGGTGTTAGAATCAGGAAGGAGGACTCGTAGTGTGTATATTTATTTAGCTCAAGTCATAGCCATATCTGACCCTGCAATCCTTCTTTCTGGAGTTAGGCTGGCTGCTAATCTTTAATCATGATAAAGGAAATAGTTTTCTTAAGAAGGAAATGTAAGTCAAGGAATCTATAGAAAAAATGATGGTTTAGCTCATTCAGGCAATGGTGCCTCGTTGCCTCCAACATTAGGAGATTTTCAAACTTTCCTCGACCTAGATTCTAGGATGGATGACTGAGAGTATATGCGTGGCTAATAAATGTTCTTTCTAATCTTGATCGTGAGGTATTTATCCATGAGTAAATTGTTGTCATCATATTGGGAATCCAAGCAGATCCATTTCCTACATGAGGTGAGACAAAAGCCTCGAGTCGTAAGCCTCACAATAAATAAGTATCCAAAGATTATGAAAATAATTCAAAATAAGCTCATAAAAGATTATAAACAATCTTCAAAATTCATACTAAATAATTTAAAGTGTGCAACAAACAAAAGAAAAATCAATAGAGTAACAAAAGAAACTAATATTTTTGCTATGGGGCTACAGATTATTCCCAAATTGGGTCGATAAAAAACACAATTTTTAAATGTTTTACTGGGTAATGGACTATTTTCAAAGTGGGTCAATCAAAATTTTATGTTTTGTGGGCCAGTGCATAAATCAAAGTGAATGTGTGGAGTATTAAGGAGTACATGCATCACAAGTCTTGAGGCGACGCTCTAAGCTATGTTGCTCGGACTCTCCAAATATGGAGGAGTATTCGTGTCGACACGACATGACATGGATACCCACACGGGATACAGATCGGATCCTTGGTTTTGAAATCGGACACGGCAGCAAAATGAAGAAGACAGCTGAAGGTGGAGTCTTGCTTCAAGCCACACCGAATTTCGTCTATGGAGCTGTAGTTTTCTGGCCTTGCATCTGTCTATAGATGCTTCTGGAATTCTGCTTTGAGCCTGGGAGAAAGATGATAACAAAGTTGGGGAAGAAGACGTAAGGTTGCCCTAATTGATTGAAGTGGGCTTGGACCGAATTTTGGAATGTTTTATAAGGGCTTTTGTAAACTTCAATGCATATAATGAATGAAATTACAATTATTTTATTGGATAAGTTGTATGGTCACTCATTTAATTTGAGTTTATTCTTGTATTTATTTTTTATTTCTTATATTTATCTAAATGAACTGTTTATTTTGTAATTAAAATGATTTAGTGCTATATCATTTTTTTGATATTAAATTTAAAATTATTTCTATATTTGTTTGTTAATAATATATACGACACTGACGTTGATTTTTTCCTTTAATTTTTTTGAAATGTCATTTTTTTAAAAAATATTTTGTGAAACGTATCCCCGTACTTGTATCCAAAATTCAGATCATTTTTAACCGTATCCCTATATCTTAATTTTTATAACGAGAAGAATCTGACTCCTAAATATGTACCCGTACCCGACACCCACACTCGAGTCCAAGCAACATAGGCTCTAGGGCATGTGCCTCGAACAATTGAGGCATATTCCTGACAATAAGCACCTTAAGCATTTTTTTCTCGCCTCACTGCGGGCTTTAAGGTAGGATCTATTGGGTTTCTTTTAAAACCATAAGTTGGACCATTCAATGTTGACCAGATGTTCAGATTTCTCTTTGCTGAGGTAATGTAACTAGTAATCTTGCGATGGGTTCCATAAGTCTTCTCTTTAATGGTTCATATTCAGGATTAGGTTCATTCTTGTCATTCCCTATCCAGGATAAAACCTATGCCTTTATCATTTTGGTTAGGCATTCCGGAAGGTATATGGTAAGCATCATAGAATTCTTCATTTTCCAAACATTTAATTATTGGCTTTAGCCTTTTAGTTATTATTTTATAATCTAAAACTGTAAAATGTTTTACAATGTCTTTTATTTTCTTTTATCTACCTACACTGAAGGAAAATTGGAAGGAGAAAACACCATTGCAATTGGAGGATGTTAAAAAAGAATGAAAAATAAATTTATAATGAGATGATGAGGTTGATGATAATGATTCCCTTAGAGATCATAATAGTAGTGATGATATAAGAAATTTTAGAGTTGTCTCCATTTTTAGTAATAAATTATTATTTATTATATTATTACTATTTTGAAAACAAATTATTTTCTATTTTCTTGATGTATTTTATGTTTGTTTGCAAGTAACTTTTATTTTCTTAACTAATTTAATTATGAATTCCTTGCAAAAGGTTCATGGTATATTACAAGCATATTTTTATATTCTTTTGAATTTTTTTGCTATCAATCTTAAGGCTTACTCCTCAAATTGCCTTGAGTTTTACGCCTTGCCTCATGGAGATAAAATGCCTCAATATTCGATGTTGCCTTTTTAAATATCCTCCATGAATAAAGCTGGAGTTCCATGAGAAAGATTGAATTATGAAAGGAAATCTCTATTTAATAAATAAGTTACAGGATGTTTACTCTATTCGTACTGTTGGATGTCTAAATAGCTAGTTTTATGAGGCTAATGTCACGCTTCCAAATTATAAACTCAGTGATAATCATTTATGTTGTACTATGTTCATCATCATATTCTTACAGTGTGCAGGTTAAGCAATTGCAAAACCCAGGGACGGCTTTTGAAACAATTCTTGGTCTTGTTGTTCGTATGGCAGAACATGGTCTCATTCATTGTGATTTCAATGAATTCAACATTATGGTATGCTACCAAGGTGCTTTCAAAGTGCATTACTGCCCTTGCAACATTCTCACATAGTAGCTTTGCCATTAAGTGTGCACCTTGCTTTAATAGCACGAGATACATTGTTTACTTTTTCTAAAAAAATTCTATTGGTGCCATTGATAAGTGAATTGTGTTCTAGTTACATATTTCAGTTCAGTGTATTGTTAATTCCCTTCTTTCTGAATTCATTGGGTATGTAGATAGATGATGATGAGAAGATTACAATGATTGATTTCCCACAAATGGTTTCGGTATCTCATCGTAATGCCAAGATGTATGATACTTTTTCACACGAAGTACCAGCTGTACTTTCCTAATCATTGGTCATGATATAATTCTATATTACTCTTTATTGTGCACTTTCATTATCAATTGACAATAAGTTCCAATTTTCAGGTACTTTGACCGTGACGTTGAATGTATCTTTAAGTTCTTCAAAAAGAGGTTAGTGTCTTATTTTCTGAAAGCAATGTCTGAAGTTTGACTTTGAAAAATGGGTATATCCATAATTTCTTATTTGAGATTGCCTTTTAGACTTTCTAGAACATGATGACCTCCGTCGCTTTGCAGTCTACTACAGTAAGCATAATGAACGGATAAATAAATATAATATTTTTGCTCCTCATGGTTAAAACTTTTGGAGATAGTTGTGATCCTTTACATTTATGTGGGTAGTTCTTTTGAAAAAAAAAAACATTTATGTGGGTAGTGCTGCTGACATTTTGGGCCAACTGACATGGACATGTTAAGATAACAAGTAAAATACATGTCAGCTTCTCAAGTTTTTGCTCCTTAGTTATAGTGTGGACTTTGTTTTATTAGGGACTGTGCTAGGCATTTCAATGTTGACTTTGTTAGCAAGTGATTTATATCACTTTAATTTCGCATGTCTATTCAAATCTTTATATTTTTTTCAGATTATTAATTTGATGCATCTTTCTATGTGCCCAAGAACAACAGAGTAGGTCAGAGAATTGTTTTATATGACTTAACTTGATAGAAGGGCTGCCTAACTTTATGTTGTTTCTTTCTTGTATATATTGATAATACACCTCTAATGTATTATGTGGTTGATTTTGCTGCATAAATGAAAAGGACTTTCTTGAGATAATGATTGATTCATGATTGAGGGTTGTCTTGCAATTCTGAGGCATGTTCTTACAAGTTAGAATTGGTTTGGGAATGCAAATGAAATTTATGGTCCAAAAAAGTAATGTTTGCCATTATAGGCTACCGGTTTATGTTTAATCGTTTCTCATCCTCTTCATTTCCATTATTTAGATTGGTTTGGGGATTCCAACAGGTCGAATTAATTCATTAACAAAGTAACAATCTAGAGTAGATTGGCTCCCAACTTTGTTGCATGGACACTTCAATTAGGGCAATGTATCTATGTCGAATACAACACCCCTCGGCACATTCTTTCATTATCATTTTTTTATGAGTGTTAAATAACAAATAGCTACTCGTATATAAAAATTTTCAACAAGAACAATTAATAACAAGTATAAAACTAAATTTATTTATATTCATGAAGAATTTGAAAGAATTTAATTAATGTGTCGATGACCTGTCGAAATTCTTTTTTTTTTTTAAATTGCTTGTCAACTTGTTCAACACATTTCCATTATTTAGATTGGTTTGGGGATTCCAACAGGTCGAATTAATTCATTAACAAAGTAACAATCTAGAGTAGATTGGCTCCCAACTTTGTTGCATGGACACTTCAATTAGGGCAATGTATCTATGTCGAATACAACACCCCTCGGCACATTCTTTCATTATCATTTTTTTATGAGTATTAAATAACAAATAGCTACTCGTATATAAAAATTTTCAATAAGAACAATTAATAACAAGTATAAAACTAAATTTATTTATATTCATGAAGAATTTGAAAGAATTTAATTAATGTGTCGACGACCTGTCGAAATTCTTTTTTTTTTTTTAAATTGCTTGTCAACTTGTTCAACATGTGTCCGTGTTGATGCATCATAGGTTCCTAATAATTTGGATTAAGAGAATTTCACAAATACTTCCTTAGAATCTTTTAATGTGTCGAGGGTGTATATAGCAATATTCTAAAGTTGGGAAAAGTGAGGCTAGGCTTGAGAAAAGGCTGTCAAAACCCCTCTTTTGACCACCCAATGCAGGACTAGGTGCCAAAAGATGCGTGCCTTTTTTCCTAAAAAAAATTTTCAAAATTTGTTTTAGACCTATTTCTTTAACCTAATGACTAATGTGGACTTATTTAATTATTTTATATTCTAGAAATAATTAAAGTACTATTTAAAATGAGAGAAAGAATTATTACACCTAGGCTTTGTCTGGGCAATGCCTAGGTTCATGAGGCTTGAGGTTTAACCTCGCCGTTTTGCCACACCTTGTGCCTTTTATAATACTAGTATGGATTAGAAAGGTTTTCCCTTTAATTATTTTGATCGTGCTACCAACAGTGAAAATTAAGTGCTTGGAATAATGAAGAACACCGTGCTTTTTGTTGAATGATGTATGTTGTGCGAATGTAAAATTATAATGGTTTATTGGCTTTTCTACCTTTGTCATTCTGCTTCTGCGTTCTTGCATTATAAGACTGAATGACTTTGTTGACTTTTATAGCGAGCAGTACAGTTTTTTTTTTTTTTTGGCCCCCCTCTTTTGGACAAAACTGATTTGTTGAGTTACATTGTCTAGCAATCTGGTTTTCTTGTTGAGTTGGTTCTAAGAAGAATGTGGTATAATCCAAGCTGGAAAGAAGCTTTTGAACTTTAACATATATCAATGTGTTGCACCAATGCCCAAAAAGCACGTTGTACGTACTTGCACACCTATGGGTCTATACTTGCTAGAGAAGCCAAATCAACTGGATAAGTTGAAGAGAATTCACGACAACTAAAGGACAAATCAGAACTCATATTACCTACACTTAGGTTGAAGAGCGTTCACTCTTAAGACAAGCTTCAACCACTTTTCTCTTCAATCCATTCAAGTTATCAGAATATGTTGGATTTTATGCCCAATATTATGAAAAAAAAAAAGATAATCAACACAAGAATTTACGTGGTTCAGTGGTGTGCCTACGTCCACGAGAGTGAAGCGGAGATTTCTTTATTCAGGAGTGAAAAATAGCGTTACAACATATTATTTATACTAACTCTAGTCTGGGCCCATATAAGACTTTAAGGCCCGTACAGAAAATACCCCTGTAGCATTGACCCATTTGATCCAAGGTCTGTGTTCCACTCTATATGAGTCACATACACAACAATCTCCACCTTGGCGAATATTCATCCCTTAGAAGAAAAGCCATAACCTGGAAAAAACCACACCATCTAGGACCAATGGGTTGGGACACATCCTCTCTAACACCTGGAGATGTTAATCAAGTTCAAGCAGTGCTTGAACCTATTCATTGTGATTGGTTTTGTCATAATGTCTGCTGCATTCTCTGAGGTATGCACCTTCTCTAACAACAGCTCTCCCGAAGTGACCAACTATCTTATCTTATGAAATCTCATATCAACGTGTTTGGTTCTTGCATGATAAATCTGATTCTTTGCTAGGAAGATGACGCTCTGACTATCACGGTACAACCTCATTCCATCTTGCTTGATCCCAAGTTCCTTGACAAACCCTTTCAACCACAATGATTCCTTGGTTGCCTCAGTTGCCGCCATGTACTCTGCTTCAGTTGTAGATAATGCCACAAGTGACTGCACCATTGATCTCCAACATATGGGCCCACCTGTGAATGTGAAAACATAACTTGTATGGGACCTTTTGTCATCCAAGTCCCCTGCATAATCTGCATCTACATATTCTTGGACTGAAATATCACCATGTTGTCTTTCAAACATGATCCCGCACTCCATTGTACATTTCAAGTACCAGAAAATCCACTTTACAGCTCTCCAATGCTCTCTACCAGGATTAGCTATATACTTACTAACCACACTGACTGCATGTGCTAAATTGCTAAATCTAGTCTGGTACACACCATTGTATGCATCAAACATCCAATTGCGCTGGCATAAGGTACCTTTGACATCTTTGCAACTTCTTCTTCACTCTTTGGGCACTAATTATTAGACAATCTGAAATGATTTGTCAGTGGTGTAGCAACTGATTGCATCTGACATGCTAAACCTCTCAAACACTTTCTTCAAATAATTTTTCTGAGATGCCCATAATTTTCTAGCTTTTCTATCTCTATTGATCTCCATGCCAAGAATTTTCTTGGTTGGTCACAAGTCTTTCATATCAAACTTATTACTCAACAAAGATTTCAATTTGTCTACCTCATCCATGTTCTTACCAGCAATTAGCATGTCGTCCACATACAAGATCAAGAAAATATATGAGTTATCCTCAAGAACTCTGTAGTAGACACAACAATCATACTCACAACGACTGCAGCCAATCTGAATCATATGAGAGTCGAACTTCTTGTACCATTGTCGTGGAGACTGCTTAAGTCCGTATAAAGATTTTTTCAGTTTACACACAAGATTCTCTGTTCCTGGTTCCAAAACCCTTCTGGCTGTTCCATGAAAATCTGTTCCACCAAATCACCATGAAGGAAAGTAGTTTTCACATCCAGCTGCTCTAATTCCAAATCAAAATTAGCCACCATTGTCAAAACAATCCTGATAGAGGTGTGTCTGACGACCGGGGAGAAAATTTCATCATAATCTACTCCCTTTCTTTGTGAGTATCCCTTTGCTACTAATCAAGCCTTGTATCTTTCTCCTTCCTTTTCTGACATTGCTTCTTTCTTTCTGTACACCCACTTATACCCTATCTGTTTCTTCCCCTCTAGAAGCTCCACCAAATCTCAAGTATTATTTTTATGCATTGACTAAATTTCCTCCGTCATAGCCTCTATCGATTTACCTTTCTCCTGACTACCAATGGCATCCTGAAAAGTTTTAGGATCGCTATTGTTGGTAATGAGTGCATAAGAAACCGAATCCTCGAATCCATACTTTGCTGGTGGTTGATAGTGCGACGTGGTCTATCTAAGGCAACACTATAATACTGCTCCACCTCTGACCCAGAACTATCTGCTCCCTGAGCATTAATTTCTGTGTTAACATTGTCTAGCTCTACTTGCACCACTTGGCTCTTACCTCTGCCCTCGTCTGAATTGAGTTTCTCTTTATTTGTAGAAGCTTTAAGCTTGAATACTTCATCAAATACTGCATCACTACTTATCACCATCTTTCTTGCCTCTGGATCCCAAAACTTGTATCCCTTTACACCTTTAACATAGCCCAGAAAAATATATTTTCTTGATTTCGGATCAAGTTTGGATCGTTGATCACTAGATACATGCACATAAGCCGAACAACCTAATACTTTCAATTCAGAATAATCAACTTCATTATCTGTCCAAACTTCCTCTACAACTTTCCCATCTAGTGCTGCTCGTTGTGATCTGTTTATGACATAACATGCCATATTTACTGCTTCCGCCTAAAAACTCTTCGAGAGCCCTGCATTCAGCCTCAAACATCTTGCCCGTTCTGCAATTGTTCTGTTCATCATTTCCGTTACACCATTCTGTTGCGGTGTCTTGCGAACTGTATAGTGCCGCTGAATACCATGCTCCTCACAAAATTTCAGAAACTATGAATCTGTATACTCTGTACCGTTATCTGTTCTCAGATACTTAATTTTTCTGCCCATCTGGTTCTCTACTTCTGCTTTCCATAATTTGAACTTGGCAAAGGCTTTATACTTGTGCTTCATGAAATATACCCAAACTTTTCTAGAGAAGTTATCAATGAAAATAATAAAATACTGAGATCCACCTTTAGACAACTCCGTCACTGGTCCCCAAACATCTAAGTGCACGTAATCAAGAATGTCCTCTGTCTTGTGCTTTTCCATCTTGAACTGTACTCTGGACTGTTTTCCAAGTACACAGAATTTGCAGAAATTTAGCTTGCACGATTTTACTCCCTTCAACAAATTCCTCTTGTGAAGCTCAACCATGCCACGTTCTCCTATATCCCCCAATCGCATATGCCATAGAAGAGTGTCATCTGACTCAGATTCTGCTGTAGCAACTCCACCTACAACTGTATCCCCGAGTAGTTTGTAGATATTCTCTACTAATTTCTGACCCTTCATCACAATCATAGCCCCTTTCTTCACTGTTAGAGCCCCACACTCTGACTTATAAGAGTAACCATTTGTGTCTAAAGTGCCTAAAGAAATTAGATTCTTTTTCAACTCAGGTACATGCCTAACATTTTTCAAGGTCCTTATCAAACCATCGAACATTTTAAATTTTATGGACCCCATTCCAATGACCTTACATGATGCATCATTACCCATCAAAACAGATCCAAAATTACCAGAACGATATGAATGAAACAAATCCCAGTGAGGACACATGTGATATGAACAGGCTGAATCAAGTGCCCAACAGTCATTTAATTTTACAGAATTACCTGCAGAGATTGATAACATGTCTCCATCTCCAGAATTCGAGTCTCCTTCTTCAACACTGGCTGAGTTTGAGGACCCATCACCTTTCCTTTCATCACTCTGCTTCTTATTGGGACAGTCTCTCTTAAAGTGGCCCATCTGATGGCATTTGTAGCACTTGACGTTTTTCTTATTTTGATTCCTAGATTTTGATCTTGTGTTCCCTCTAAAAGAAACACCCCTGTTCTTCCTTCTCCCACAATCCTAGTAGCCCTTTACGATCAACACTTCACCCTTTGAAATTTTACCAGTACGCAGTTTCCGCTGGTTGTAGGCTAACAGGGTTGATGTGACTTCCTCCAATTCGAGAGTCTCTTTACCCCACGTCAATATGGTCACCATATGGTCGTACGAAGAAGGAAGTGAGCACAACAAAATCATTACCTTGTCTTCATTATCAAACTTGATTTCAAGTCGCAATAGATCGCTGATGATTTGATTGAACACATTGGTGTATTGAATCAGATCTGTACCCTCCAACATCTTCAGCCCGTATAGCCGCTGCTTCAAATACAACTTGTTCGTGAGAGACCTCGACATATAACGACTCTCCAATTTCTCTTGAACCTCCGCCGGAGACTCAACGTCTATGACGTGATACATGATTTTGTCCGCCAAACAAAGCCGAATTATATCAACTGCTCACGCCTTAAGCTCTTCCTAATCAGCATCTGACGTACCCTCTGGTTTCTTCCCAGATAGTGCCTTCACCATCCCTTGTTGCATCAACAAATCCTTCACCCTTCGTTGCCATAATCAGAAGTTTCCAGATCCGTCAAACTTCATCACATCGAATTTTGCAATCGAAGAACTCACCATCTGAACCTGGCTCTAATACCAATTGTTGGATTTTATGCGCAACATTAAAGAGATGAAAAAAAAATAATCAACACAAGAATTTACGTGGTACGGCGGTGTGCCTACGTCCATGAGAGCGAAGCGGAGATTTCTTTATTTAGTAGTAAAAAATAGGGTTACAACATATTATTTATACTAACACTAGCCTAGGCCCATATAAGACTTTAAGGCCCGTACAGAAAATACTTTCTGTACATCTGAATATCAATATATAAAGGCTATTTAATTTGAACTGATAGTTACTCTCAAAAAAGAAAAGAAAAAAAAATGTTCTATCTTATTCTGAGATGCTTCTTTTGCATGAATTTGAGACGATTCAGACTAGAAATTATTTTGTTAGAGCTAATAAAAGACGCTATACAATTTTATATGTCCAGGGACTGGGTCATCAATCAGACCAAAAGGTCATAAGTCAGATTGTAAGTCAAAATACCGATATGATTTCTCTTGGTTGTATGACAAAAACATGTCAATTAGGTAACACTGGGCATTAGTTGGTATGAAAGAACAAAAATAACAAATATCATAAAAATTCCATCCTACTCCCAAAGTCTTCTTGATCCTTTCCAGTAAAACCACTAGCTGCAAGTTCCTTGTCCAGGAAACCAGAAACTTTCTTTATCTCAGAAAACCGAGGCCAGCATACTTCATCCGAATCTATCTCTGAATCATCAGATTCATCTTCATTTTCTTCAAAAGACAGGTTGAACCTAATAAAAAGGTAACAAATTTAAGCTAAATTGAGTATATGTGAGCCACATGCACAACAGAATAGATACCATAATATCTTATATTTACTATTTTTTATGGTGAGAACTTTTTAAGATTTAAAAGTGGTTTTCTCCTTCATCCCTTTCACACTCTGAATAGTTGTACCATACGCACCCAGACTTGATGTAGGAAGAGTGACAAAAAAGAAATTAAGTGCACTGTTTGATTGCTTGCAGTTCTAGTATTTAAGGGATATGGACACATTAAACATAAATAGCTAAATATTGCTAGGTAATCTGCCATCATGTTTGTAGTGTTCATTTCATTCTTTCTCTATCATGTATCCTAATTGTATACGAGAATAGATACCATAATATCTTATATTTACTATTTTTTATGGTGAGAACTTTTTAAGATTTAAAAGTGGTTTTCTCCTTCATCCCTTTCACACTCTGAATAGTTGTACCATACGCACCCAGACTTGATGTAGGAAGAGTGACAAAAAAGAAATTAAGTGCACTGTTTGATTGCTTGCAGTTCTAGTATTTAAGGGATATGGACACATTAAACATAAATAGCTAAATATTGCTAGGTAATCTGCCATCATGTTTGTAGTGTTCATTTCATTCTTTCTCTATCATGTATCCTAATTGCACGTATACTCAATTTGGCTTAAATTTGTTACCTTCTTATTAGGTTCAACCTGTCTTTTGAAGAAAATGAAGATGAATCTGATGATTCAGAGATAGATTCGGATGAAGTATGCTGGCCTCGGTTTTCTGAGATAAAGAAAGTTTCTGGTTTCCTGGACAAGGAACTTGCAGCTAGTGGTTTTACTGGAAAGGATCAAGAAGACTTTGAACGGGTATAAGTTATTATCTTCTCTTGGGAGTAGGATAGAATTTTTATAATGTGTTATTTTTGTTCTTTCATACCAACTAATGCCCAGTGTTACCTAATTGACATGTTTTTGTCATACAACCAAGAGAAATCATATTGGTAATTTGACTTACAATTTGACTTTGGACCTTTTGGTCTGATTCATGACCCAGTCCCTGGACATATAAAATTGTATAGCGTCTTTTATTGAGTCTAACAAAATAATTTCTAGTCTGAATCGTCTCAAATTCATGGGGTAAAATAACTACCCAGAGGGGATTCAAATTATTATGAGGGTGCCGCTAGAGAATCTGATAAGCCATTTTCGTATTTCTATTAGTTTCTATAAATCTTATGCTGCATTATAAAATAACAATTTGTATTTGCAGGAAGGTGATAATACACCTGAGCATGAACATGGACAAATTGAGCACGGAGTTGTGGAAGAAGATAGACTTGAGGATAATCCAGAAGAGGAATCTTCACAAGCTGGGTGTGAACATGATTCTGAAGCCGAGCAAGTTGAGAACCCTGAACTTACTAAGCGTCTGAGTAAGCAGAGACAGCGAGCCATTCAAGCAGCTCGTGGGAGAAAGAAGAGTTCTACGTCAAGAACTATGTACTCAGACAAAGGCGGAAGGTCCTCCTACAAATCAAAGATCCAAAAGCAAATGAGCAGTTGGTAAAATACCTAGAGTATAGCATGGTGGATTATAGCGTTCCACCATTTTTCTTTGTGGTGACAAAATATTGAAATGGCTTTAACCGTGGAGACACCAATTCCCTCAGTTGCTTCTTGTAATATAGATTTTGACAGCAGATAGAAGAATACTCTTGCATAAACCGTTTATTGGTTTGCAAGTTGCGATTAATTTAATATACATTTCCTGCTCGTTTTTATACTTGACTTGTGTTGGCTACATGGGTGTTGGATACTATCACTCGAGTCCGGGTCGATAGGCATGTTCTAGGTATGAAGATTTTGCCCTTAATTGGCCTCTATTTTTTAATACATTTTTCTTCAAACTCATTTTCATTCGTATTTTGCAAGGGCTTTACAATTTTTATCAACTTTTCAATCACGCATTTTATGATTTTTGTCAAAATTTATTAAAAATTTGATTTTTAGTTATATCAAACGTGGACTTTTATTGATGTCAAGTTTAATCTATTTAAAAGTTTTTAAGTCTTTATGTGGATATAATTTATAACTTAGTTTATAATTTGAGCCAGAGTCAAATTTTAATTTCAATTATGCATGAATAATTATTATTTACTCGTGAAATTCATTTGTATTCATAGTTATAAACAGTTTATAAATTGACCAAACAGGAATTAAACTTTTTGGGCATAATGCATAATTATTTTCAACATAACTCATCATTTTCAATTATTGTAAACGGGCGGCTACATGACTTCGACTTAAGAGCCTTAGAACCTAAGTGAACTCTTACCTCTGCAAAACCATCACTTCATCTAAAATATTAAGTTTGTGAGGGTTGAATGATCGATTGCGTCTATTTGTAAGGTCATTATATGAACTGTTTTTAAGTGAAGACAAGGTTGAAGAAGTTTTAGAGATGTATCACTAAGAAGGTTGTGGTTATGCATAAGATTGCAATACAATTTTATTATATATAAAAATTAGCGTTTGTTTGGTATTGATTTAAATCAAATTTTAATTTAAATCTAATTCAAAGTCAAAAAATTAATATTAATCACATCTTTTATAGATCACAAATTTTCAACCACATATTTTAAAAACTTTTATCAAAATTTACTAAAAATCTAATTTTGATCCCTACCAAACTGGGGCTTAATATCTACCAAAACTATATACCATCGCGATGACATGTTTAATAATTATATTGGTCGAGAAAGTACAAATAAAATTTCATACAGATCAAGTGAATTTAAAATAATTTTAAAATTCGGATGCCTAAAAATTGACTTTTGATGGTGTAGAATCGTAAAAGCCTCTATGCACTTGCACGAAAGGAATTAATTAAAGTACGTATGGTTATTAAATATTTTATCAAACATTTCAATTTTACAAGCTTCGTATATACGTAATTTTCTATTAATTAGCACATCCCAAGTTTTTTCTTTAATATTTAAAAAAAAAAAACTTTTTAACAAATTAAATTTAAAAAACTATTAGGTGTATTTGACCCAAATTGACATGTCCATGAGGGGATTTTGCAAATAATTTCACCCACTCAACGTGTTTTATATTTGAACATTCATATAATTTTGTGAAGCGAATTGCATTTGCACTTTATTCATCTCATGTCAACTGAAGAAGTACAACACCTTTATACCAATTTTAGCCCATATGGGTATCAACACTCTAGGATATACATTAACTTTGAGACCATACTTCATGAACAATGTTAATGACGTTTTCTGCTCCACCTTGTGTCTCGGTGCCACCATGAGCCGGTGGCGGAGCAACACCGCCACCGCTATAGATTTCATTTGCAAGTAAGCCAAATCCTTATCTAACCAAATCCTTGGGCCTGCATGGAATGCAACAAATTGAAATTGATACTTTGCTTCAAATTTCTTACCATCTTTGGACAACCACCTTTCTGGCTTAAACTCTAGGCAATCATCGCCCCATATGAACTTCATTCGACCAGTTGAATATATCGTGAAAGTGATATTTGACCCCTTGGGTACAAAAGTTCCATCAAGCAATGCGTCATCAGCGATCACATGTTTGGAATCCTCCAGCATCAAAGGGTATAATCTTAGAGTTTCTGACAATACTGCCTTGAAATATATCAATTGGTAAAGTTCTTCGAATATTAAGGGATCTTCAAGCCATTTTAAAGTGTCTTCACCACGAGTTTCCACTAGAACGGAGCAAAGCTCAATCAAGATTTTCTATTCGACTTTAGGGTCTCGGTTAACCAGCCAGAAGAACCAACTGAGAGTGACTGATGAGGTGTCACGCCCGGCTAGGATAACTCTTTTTTCTTCACGAACCTAGATAACAAGTCATCATACATTTTGTTGACCCAGCAACTCGAGCTTACATGTATTGATGACATTTGTCATGTAATCATCCACGCCTTTGATACTCTGGCTCAAGCTTACTTCCATCCCAAGCCTAAGCCACTCTTTCAATTTCCAAACAAAGTAGTGTGAAATAAAGCGTTGTAAAGAGGCTTCAGTGGCTCAATCAAAAGCCAAAGCGAATTTATTGTTCGTAAGCCCAGGCGAAAGAGTTCGCAGGTCCATCCCGAAAGCCAAACCACATATGTTACAGAAAGTGAGCCTTTGTAATAAATTTTGCATATCAACATGCTTACCTTCGAGCTGAGCTGTTTTAAGAATCAAGCAGAACCCTATTCTTAATGGCTTGGCTCGACCATCAGGCCATGACTTGCCTCAATGTTCGGGTGGTGAATTCAAGTGCAGCAGTCTTACAATGGAATGCCCATGTGTCACCATCAGAGTTGAAAATCCTGTGCCCAAGGAGATCATGAAATACAGCTTGACACACGGGGCGGCCTTGGGATGGTTGGGTTTTGATACCCAATAAATTCGGGCAATTATGAAAAATCGATGTAGGGAATTATGGATACCAAAGTGATGGCTCGACCCGAAAAAAATTAACACTTTGGATGTCCCAAGTTATTTTAGCACATTGGTTAGTTTGTGACCTTTGATATGTTGGACCATTTGATTATTTGCCGTGGCCCATTTGGAGGAGAGTTTTGGTCTAATCTTGTGATGATCTAAAGTCCATATATACTTGGCGTCCCTACAGCTAGGGGTGAACGTGGTTTGATTTGAGCGGTTTGTGCTATATTTTTAACTCAAATCATTTTTTGCGATTTGGAATTTTTTTAAACCAAACTAAATCATTTTATTTTTTGAACCAAACCAAACCATAATTTGCGGTTTGGTTCAGTTTTAATCCGTGGTTTACCATTCGATATTGTAGTAATGTATTTAACAGAAGTTAGATATAAGTTTAAACGAGAAGTAATAATGTTAAATGTTAAATTACATTCATATTTTCAAAGTTGGTGGTTAAAAGATATTAATAGAACAAATACATATTTTTTCATTTTTATTTACCTTTTCTTGTTTGACATTCATATTGTCATATAGTGGTTGATAAATGTAGATTTATATTTGTTATTATAGTTTGGTTAAAACTCCTTTCGTCTTGCTAGTGAGATGTTAGATAAGGATTAAACTTGATATGTTTAGATGTACAAAGATTGATAGAATTTCGACTTACTGGGAATTGACGAATTTCATCCTTTAACTACTTTATGAAAGTAGAAAATAGTAATACTAGTTAGAAAACTTTATCATTTTCACACAATCAATGTGCCCCGTCCTTCATTCTTTCCAAATTACAAACAAATTCATTAATCATCTAGGCACACAAATAATCATTTTTTTATCTAAACCACAACTCACAACTATATAATAAGTTCAAAAAAAAAAAAAACAAATAAAAGAAAGCACAATGAAAAAATGGCTTGAATAAGAATCTAAGAATTACTGAAAGAGGTGATTCAGGTAGAGATTAATAAACTAACAAAGGCAATTGACAATTCGTACAGCAGCGGCAAACAAGCATCAAATGTTAGGAAAATGAGAGTTTATTTTAAGGTTTCTGAAACTTTAGACGTGATTTGCTAATGTAGTTCTGTTGAATATGACTTGGATTGTTGAAAATATATGTTTTTTTTTTTTCATTTCATATGAATTTGGAATAATTTTAGTTTAGTTTAGATATCGGGTGAGAACATGTGTTGTAAACCTATTAAATCATAAGTCAATAATGATGAAGCTAATTTACTTTCTATGATTATTTCAATAGGTTGGTCGTAATTTGTATTGCTAAATTGATATTTTTTTTTAAAAAAAAGTGAAAACTATAAAAATTTTAAGTTAATAAAATTAATATTTTAATTAAAAAATTTTAAAACGGTTCGGTTTGATTTTATGCGATTTTTGAAAATCAAAACCTAAACCAAACCATTTTGAAACGAATTGGTTCGGTTTGAGGGGGAAAAAACCACGGTTCCACATGGACCCGAACCAACGGTTTCAACTCAACGATTTCAGTTCGATTTGTGATTTCGCGATTTTTTTTGTGCAACCCAACCTACCTCCGTTTCTCTAAGTTTGAATGTGGGTGTGAATGTTTTATGAACTTCAACAATGCTCTATTTTGACTATTTATTTTGTTTTTTCCAATGAATATTTATTGATTTCTCCTCATCTCTTATTTAACGTAATTTTTATTATACGATAATGATCAATCAATTCAAATTTCATTTAAATAATTTTAAATTGTAGAGCATTGAAATGTATAACTTATTAAATATAATCTTTGTTAATTCAGAATAGAGAGTAACTAGCCCACTATTTATTTTAAAAATGTAAAATAAAGAATCTCTTGGAGCTTATTTATGAGCTTTGACTCGCTAAAATAGAAAGTATTTTTTGTTTAGAAAGTTAATTAGACATAAACTATTAACTTCAGCAATGCATGATTGTTTACAATAATTAAAACCCTCAAATTATGGTAAGATTTTACTTCAACCCTAATTCTATTATGCAAAGACTCCCTTTTCCTAATCGCAAGGAAAGTCATTTTCCATTCCTTTGTGAATAAACTAACTCTTTTATCTTTTTCATTGCCAAACATGAATTACTTCTCCTTTTCAAAATAAATTCTTTTGTCACACAGATTTGGATCAAACCTGATTGTTAGTTGAGAATATTGTATATTGATTAGAAGAGCCCGTTGGATGCATGTAGAGAATTGTTAAATAAGAGAATGGTTCACTTGACCTCATCTAATAGATTCTCCAATGGTTGGCTTGTCTCGACAAGGTCCATCTATCTTTCATTTTTTTGCTCAGAATATACACAATCAATCAAATGGACCGATAAATAATTTGTAGATAGACTATCAAATCTTCTTATTACTATGGGCTGCATGCATGTATCTTAAGCTTAAACAATCCCGCTAATCAGCCAGGTTTAAAACCAGGCTTGTAAACAGGTATTAAAATATTGCTGACGTGGCACGTTAAGGCACAATTAATAAAAAAACAAAAAGGAGACTAACGAAACCAGACAAAATTTGTTTCAAACCCTACCCCTTTGCAAAACCACAGAATCGGGACGGCCAAAAACGAATAATTTTTCTTGTTTCAAACACTACTTTGTGCCGCGTTGCCTTTGTCGACCGGAACACAGATCGCCGACTGAAGCACCGGTAGTCACCATCCAAGAAGAAGGAAAAATGGAAATAAAAAGGATCTCATTTATCTCCAACATTTCAAAGCCCAAAAGTCGAGCGGTTTCCCTGCTCTTCCTTCCATAATCTTAGATCGCCAGACCTAGGGACTCTGTCGATGTCTCCTCAGGACACTGCTTCCGATAAACTATTCTCAGGAAGTCTTTTTGCACATGAATAGTTTTTATCAGATATGGTTTTGACTGAGGCTTGATTGTTGGGTATGCTATGCTTAGGTAGTGTTTTAGTTGTGATCTTGTGTAATTCTGGTAACTCCTGTACACTCTACCGTGGTTCTCTTTTCTAGGTTTATTTCCTCTCATCTATCCTAAAAATTAAACATAAAACAAGGTACAACATAGAAGATAATGCAATGGATTTGATGTTCAAGTGCTGTAAATTGATATTGTTGATGAGATAATGCTTGCTCTATCAATGATGTCATGGCACCAACTTGTAAATATTTGTACACGGTAAAAAGTTCTTTTCTATGGAAAATTGGTTCAAACCAGCTTGTTTATATCAAGAGTTATCTGTGAAGTAGTGAGTTGCTTTGCAAATTGTGTAAAAATTATTAAAAAACAATTGTGTCCTTTTATAGTTTTGATCTATCACAACCAATGCTTGATGGTGATGAGTTTTGGTAGGTTGTACTGACTTGGCAAGTTGATTTCAGTTTTGCATGGCTTGAGTTGATAAGTCAAAGAACTTTCATGCCCAAATTACTTGCAGCGATGAAGAAATGTCCCGTGTGTTCAAATCTTGGGTAAGGATAAGTGATGAATAAAATCTCCAAATTTCAGTAAATGTGAGCATTAGGATGAAAAAATATATTGCAGACGTGAACGCTACAAGGAAACGGCCAACACATAGTTATCTAAGTATTTGAGATATGTTGTAATGTGTATGACTTATATGGCACGAAACCTTATGGTAATGTAATTATATGGCTGTTATCATTGTGAACAAATTAAATCTTCTATGTATTGGTACTTATCAATCTATTACATTTTCCTGGTTGAAGCATACTTTAAATTTTAGTGCAATATTATATTATGGATATGTGAATATTTTGCATTTTTCAATTTTTGGAATTATCTTATTTTTTCTTTTGAGGGTTACACATAATCTAATTGAGTCAAAGCGCTTCAATACCCGATTTTACCTCTTAAAACACATTGGTTGCCTTATAATCTGAACATATAAACTTCCAGTAAACTATTTCAGTTCAAATATTTGATGAATAAGCCTTTTAATATATTAGTGTCCCGGAAAAAAAATCAATTTTCTCAAAATTAATTCTAAAAAGTGTCTTCCAAACATGGGCTACATGAGAGTATTTGAAAACTAACTATAACTTGGAAACAGATAACTATAGCAAACAGTAACCAAATAACAAAAGCTACCACATTCCACTTCATGGATATTACATACATGATACATCACCAAGGGCTATGTTTTTTCACTTGAGCATTGAACTAATCTACCTGAATATTGTTACAACCGTAAATACATGGTACATCAAGCATCAATTTCATTCACAACTTTCTCATCGATGAGGCCATTAATTTCATCCCTAGCATCAACAAGTTAAATCACAATGCAAAACAAAGCTTCAATTTTGTTTGCCTGAATTTCTCCATCCACGAGGTACATTAAGAATCCCCCGTACTTTAATTACATGTTTACGAATTTATTGAATAAATATTAAGTACTTATACACACACAAAAAATGGGGTTTATGCACAGTATGTGAATGAACAAGTAAAAATAATTTTATTATGCATTTTCGGGCAAACTAATTGATGGGATTAGCAGCAACGTGTAGCATAAACCTATCGGAGATGGAAGGACTAACAGTATACTTGTCGGCAAAGGGTGCTCCGATTGGGGATGAGTGCTCCAGTCGGCCAAGGCACGGCGACGAAAGGGAGGGAGGGTTTGGAACATTATCTCTTTCCTTCTGATTTCCCGCTTCTGGTTTTGCCACTTTTGTTTACTTTCTTTAGTTTTTTTTTTCTTATTCTTTTTTTTTTAATTGTGCAATAAGTGCCACGTCAGTGAAAATTCAAATCCCTGTTTTTATCCATGTTTTCATCCCTGGCTGACTAGCATTATTCTTCATATATTACCCTCCTGCATTTAGTTTCATTGTTTTAAATCATAACAAAATCAAAGGACTAACTTATATTACACCCAGGTTTTTTTCACTTGTTTATCCATAATTCAAAGCACAGTGACCAATTGTACGAATGAACAGTTCATGCCGTATTTGACAAAAGGAAATAAAAGCTAGTGCTATCTAAGAAAAACATCAAAGTTTGTAAAAGGTTTGCAGGTGAACAACAACAAATTGTCACCAGAAATTCACTGAAATGCAGTAATCGGAATCACAGAATCCAACTCCAAAGAAACAAAAAGATTTCCAGTTCAGAGGATGAAGAGTAAGACTACAAAAATTCAGTGTCTGTCGATAGAAGGGGTGGTATGATTGAAATTGGAAATCATTGAGAATACGACACAGATTCAGCTAAAGAAAGGGTCCATTTTGTGGTCGTCCCTTTAGACATTTTTCGGTACATTAATAAATCTAAGATTTTGGAGGACCTAAGAAATCAATTTGTAAAACAAACACTCAATTCCAAGATAGTAAATGTGTCCATCTCATTGTGTAGCATGGGATAGCAGACAGGCTATATAAAGATATTTAACATGATTCACACATACCTGGTAACAAAAGATGACTTAATATTCTGAATTGCGCTCCTTTTTCAGCTTGCTGCAGAACAATACATCTTTTTCCAACAACTGCATTTTCACGGGCAAGACAACAGATTCTAATGCTATACAATAAAAACAGTAATATAAGTCATCTTAGGTAAAGTTATTATCATTTTTTTAATATAACTGATCGTCTAGAACATCCTTTTCGTCGTCATCAGCAACATCATGGCTATGACAGTTATAGACTTACAGCTATATGCCTATATTATTTATCTTACATTCAGAAAAGGCAAATATCTTGATGCTAATCATGAAACATTTCTATCCTAAACATAGCAATTTTTTCACTATTCTAACAGTTTCTGGGTATCCTCTTTCCAGGTCAGGAAGTGCTCAAAAAACAGCCTTCATGGGAGAGTCAGTCCTGCACAACATGACTACAATCTAAAAACCCATTTTTTCCTACCATGTAGTTTCACAATATTAGAGCCGTCACTGGGTGTGTGCTCAGCTTTAAATGTTTCAACCAGCTATTTATTTCCTTCCTGCTGATAACAACATGAAGGTAACAACTAGCTGGCACTCGTCTGCATCACCGGAAAGGACCAGATCTTAGTTGGTCCACCCTCCTCCCCAACCTTCTCTTTGGCCCACCAGTTGGAACCAACATTAGGTGTATCAGAATTTTCTCCATCTATATTGTCAAAGTTGAATTCTTTGGAAGATCCAAGGGTGATAGTGCAGTTCTTTTGGTGCTTCCTTTCATCCTCACCCTGTGTAGGGGCTTTATCGGATGTGATGTTAGAAGTTACTCCAGCAAGGTTCTCATGTACATTTGTCATATCTCCTGGGTTTTCCTCTCCAGTATGTTCAATGTTTTTAACAAACTCTTGCCCAACTTCTGGGAAGGCTACTGGTTTCTTTTCCACGCATCTTACAACTTCCTCTGCAGTTATCTCGAAAGAAACTCTATGATTAACCACGATCTCATCATTTCGCAACCTGTTACATTCATCTGGAAGTGGAGTAATATCTGAACCTTGATGACTTAGAAGGAAACTATCATGAGATTTGGGCCTGGCAATATCTGAAGTTAATGCACCAGATCCATGGAATGATTCCCATTTACGAAGCACAATCTTGTCAAAGTTTAAGAACTTGGCATGGTTTCCAGTTTTGAACTCAACAAAAAGTGGGTGTCCAGGAGCACCCTCAAGGTCAGGAAAAGGTGACGAGGTGCCTGAACCGGATATGCCAGAGCTAGGTGAGATCAAATGGCTGACTGGACTTCCAGGCTGAAGCTGATAAGACTGAAATTCATATTGCGATAGAGGATATCTCTGACCACCTTCACCACTTTGGAAGCTGGGTTCAAGTAGCCGTGCGAACGGCACCTCAGGAGAGGAAGGTGTAGTTAAGTGAACTGATTCTGGGGGAGGAGTATAGGGGGCAGTTGATGGTTCAGTGGTGAAAGTTGAGAATACAGGTGGAGATACTATCTGGGTCTCATAAGCATAAGGACCAATGGCAAAAATTGAGGGACGGCCCCCAGGAGAATGCATATTTGCAGATATTGAGGTGAGCGATAAGAGGCCAGTTGGTGACTGGGTTGCTGAAGGAGGCCCTGATGGAAGGAAAGATGCTGGAGAGGAAGGTGGTGCAACAAAAGGAAGTACTATGGAAAGTAGTTGGGGTGGATTTTCAGCTGTTGGAGCGTCTGCTCCTGTGGTTGGGGTTTCAGGAACAAGAACAGCATGTGCAATTTGTTGCTTGTTTTTGTGAGATCCGAAACACCAAAAAAGGCTCCAGTAGCTTCTCCATCTTCTTTTCTGCATGTGAAATAAGAAATATTATGCACGCAAATGTTGTAAATGGACACATAGAAAGATATCTTTTGGGTATAACACAGTGTTAACATAAGAATGGGTAGCATCATAAACATAGAAATTAAGCTAACACAGAGAATTGAATTCCTTGAAGTTCATAGAACACAAGAAGAAACATTCCTTTGAAGCTCATAGAAGAATACAATAAGAAACATGCCAAGAGAAATTATTTGACACACAGGTTTAGAAAATTGTTAAACCAAATCTCGGCAGGTCCCTTTGACAACTCTACAGAAGCAGGTCAAGTATAAGTATCTTTTTAAATTAAAAAGGCTAATAAAAAGAACATAAGTCAATATTATAAGACATTGACCCATGTAATTGCCCCTCAGGTTACATTGAGCAGCAGAAGTTTGATATATTTACCCACCCAAGGAAAAAACTGACCAAAATGTCAATCGCGAATTGTTAAAGACAAGAATTTGGGTATAAACTTGCTGATCACAAATGCATTTTCTGCAATCCCATCTGATTATTAACATTAGTAGCTGAAAAAATTCAGTCAAACAATAAAGATAATCCTGTTTAACCGTGCCACTTCTGAGGCCGGTCAGCAGGCTGTCTCTTGGGATGAAAGATTTGTTAGAAACTGCAAAAATAGATTTCATACTCCTCATATGGATGACATAAACACTATAAAATATCAATTTGAGACCACTTGTCAACAAGAGTAAACGTCAAAGCATAGGACAGGGCAGGATGACATGTCGAATTATTTCTCAATTCAAATCTGATAATGGTGGTGCCATCGGCAGATAATGACTCTTCCTCGCATTCGTACGTGGCTGAAGAAGATAGTATTTTGCACTCTCCAACATATATTCAAAATCAGAAAATACATATCATATACCATGAAGTGCAGAAAGCTGAGAACAATTCTAACTTCACAAAAGTTAGAATGGTAATGCCATGAAGTTATACTTTTTCATTATTCCATCAATGAATTGCTACTATGGACATAGTATCTAAGAGGGACGGGAATATTGATTGTGCCGGAGTATACTAATAAGGAGACATTCAAGCAAATAGATGTGGTGGAATACATCTCTTGGAGATTCAACCATTTTAAAAGACTACTTTAGGGAAGGAGGACCTGAACGTCCTAGTTCTGGTTACAAAGCTAGTGGCAGTGCTGGTTAACGGAGCTCAACAACTCATAAACTCATATAAGGGCCAGTTATCCACCATACCTTGTTTTCCTACTGAGTTTGAGGGAGGGTCTTCCAACTCAAAGAAAATTTTTGCTCGAGAAATTGAGTACGAAGATGAACCACTCATCACCTCCATCACATGTAAAACTATATAAATCAATATAAAGAAATTTCGAAAAAGAAAGAAAAATTGACATCAACTCCAGCAGGGCACTAACTAAGCTCCTTTAACCCCAGCTCTAAGTAACAGTAATTAGGTTCAAGAATTTTTAATAATGCTGATTCAATAAATAAATGAAGTCAATTATGTTAACTGCAAAAGGTACTACTGTAAAGGGAAACACGACGGACTAATAACATTACAGTAAGAGGACAAGCAACGTCACTAACAACCACCATCTTTTCCTTTTTAGTACAACGAATAACTTTCCGTTTCCAAAAACTTAAATTTCGTTTTTACATTCTTTTTTGTAGATTGAATAACTTTCTGAATTAATAACCCAATATGAAGGAACTTTCCAGGTAATCAATTGGAACATTTAAAAACCAAAAACAAACTTCAATAAAAAATCACAAATGAAATTATGTAATATAGTTCTTAAAGTACTCCAAATTGCTTCTCTTAATCAGTCCTACTGATGCCTTTGATCTCACTGGACCTATTGACTTTCTCTGATACACGAAAGCCATTAAATCCATGGAAGGATTTAACCCCAAATGAACAACATTTCGTCAAATGTTTACGCTAAAAGAACATATAAAATTCTAATAACCACGTGAGAAAACTAAATTCAATCCAGCAAAATCAAATTCTACAATCACCAGATTTCAAATCTCAGAAAGCTAACATAATCAGAAATTTTCCGCCCAAACTAAGTTAACTCCACAATAAAACCATCAAAATTCGAGAAAATTCAAATGGAAAACAAAATCTTGACAGCTCAAACAAACACTTCAAACTGAATTATCGAAATTCAGCAATAAAACTCCTACCTGAACCGAACCTTGACGAACCCGATTCTGATTCTCAGCAGATGCGATCACACTCGCTGCGGCGTTTATAGTCTCCAAAGCATCGTTTCCATTCACTCCTCTACTCATCGTTACTCCGAACAATCAAAAAAATTTCGATCCAAGAGCCTCAAATTTCATCTCAAATTTCTCAACCCAATAAAATGAATACTAAAAAAGAACAGCTCAATTATATATATCTCTTAGACAGTGACACCGATTCAGAGGAAACGGAAGAAACTTGCGTGAGTTTTTTTCTTTTTTTCTTTTTTTTTTTCCGTTTGTAGATACAAATATGTGTATGTATAGGCCGTTACTATTGATTTGGAGGTCAAACACGGCAATGACTAGAAAGTGATTCGTCCATCACGTGATGATTAATACGGGACTAAGGTTAATAAAAGTAGGGATTAATTACTTAATTTATAATTTGTTCTATTAATTATTCTTTATTGACTATTAATGACCAAAATGGGCTTTTTGAGAATTGGCAAGTGCATTTATGTGGCCATACGTTATTGTTGAAACGGATTAAAGTTTTGCCAAAAAGTAGTTAAGTGTGAATTTATTTGTATTGATTTTTAATTCAATTTGAATTGAATTTTGGTAGGAAACAATTAAATGATAATGAAAACTTTATTTTGTAATTGATTATCGTGAGTTCTTACACATTATTTTTAGAGCATGTTTGATAATAATTTTGAGAATTGATTTTTTGATCGTTGGAGAGAAAAGTGAATTCTATTTGTGAGAGAATAAGTTAAAAATGATGGCTTGAATAGTAAAATAACGGTCAAAATTTTGATTTTTTGAGATGAAAAATCAATACCAAACATGCACTTATTCATGTTACTTTAAATTCTGATTAAAAAAATATATTCGTGTTATTATGTAATTTTGATATAATTTAGTAGTTTTCAATGCGAGTATATAATTTTGTTAGTTGTGATTATCACCAACTTATGTATTAGTTGTCGAAAGAATTAAAACTTTCTTTTAATTAGTCCAAATTGGAGTGGGGAGATTTCAAGGGCATTTTAGTACATTAGAGGAAAGTGAGAAGCAAATAAAATGATTAAATAATGAAGTTTAAAGCTTTTTTTAATTAAAATGCCGGTATGAACTTTTTACTTTATAGTAGTAGTAATTTCCGAGGAAAGCGTTTTGTAATCATAAAAACTTTTGTGTGCACGTGTGCCCATTCACTTCTCGACGGCGGTATGTTTACGGCCCACCTCGAAAATTCTCCGCCTTATTCCGCCACCTAAACTCATCAGCACCGCGGCTTCTTCTCTCTAAATCAGCGGCCGAAATTATTCATTCCCTCTTAACAAGAGTGTAATGTCCGTTTGATTGTAAAGATAAAATTTGAGTGGAAAGAAAACGAATTTCAGGAAATTGAATTGTCTAGAAATCGTTTTCTTGGAAATTGTAAATTATTGTGTTTGATTGGTATAATTTTTCACATGGAATTCGTTGAAATAAAAGTATTTTTTGGTGCTCGTTTGACTTTATTTTACATTAAAATTGTCAATTAAAGGGATAGAATTTTCTAGTATTGGAAATGAAATTTGTTTCCATTGCCAAAAAAAAATTCAAGAAAATCATCTATTTTTTGTGTTCGTTTGACCTTGTTTTATATGTAAATTTTAATATTTAGAATTTGTTTCAATTGCAATAAAAATAAAAAATTATGCTACAGTACCAATCCACAAAATCCAAGAAAAGAGGTGCGTGAGTGGAGGAACAAGAAAACACTTTGCCAAGAAAATAAATGCTATCAAACAATGTAAAAGTGGAAGTTGGAAAATCAATTCCTAGTTCCATGAAAAAAAAGTTAATCAAACAGGGCCTAAAAATAGCTTATATTATAAAACCTGATTTTTTATTTTTTATTTGAGCCTCCGTTTGGGAAAATTAATGATCAAACTTTATTTTGAATATACATTTCAATTTATTCATAAATGGCATTCAATTATTCATCGTTGATATTTATTTATTTATAAACTAAGTTGTACATATCTTTTCTCTAAACGAAGACGAAGTAAGTTCGAGGAGAAAATTTCCTATATGTTTTTGGAGGTGTTGTTCATTTACATCTATCGATTCATCAATCAACATGAATCCTTTGAAAGAACATTTCAATGAAGTAAATAATTTTTTATTCATTATATAACTTAATTATATTTAGAATTACAAATTTCTAAACACCCAATAGTATTTTTGAGAAACTCGAAGATATAATTTCTCTTACACGGTTCCTTTTATTGAATTTCAAAGATAAAAAAATTTTAACTAACAAGTAATTTACTATTTTAAGATCGTAATAATTACCGTCACTGTTCGTCTAGATTTCTATAGTCAACTCTCCTATAATCAAATAACCAACTTCTTTGACCATTTGAACGTTGGAAGGCGTTCAACCCCCCTATCCGTAATATTTCTTAATTTGTTTTGTCGCATGGTCAAAAGGTAGAAATAATGATAGAGAGAGTTGAAAGTTCAAACTTTTGGAGCAACTTCATGGCTATTAATGAAATGACATGTAACTTTGACTGATGCTTATGACATTTTACCCCACAAAATGTGCAAGCAATATGTCTGTCGGATGGCTAAGTAAAAACGTAGTGAGGGAAAGGGAAGTCCCACTGGTTTATTTTGTGCTTGTTTGGTAAGATGCTTATGACATTTTACCCCACAAAATGTGCAAGCAATATGTCTGTCGGATGGCTAAGTAAAAACGTAGTGAGGGAAAGGGAAGTCCGACTGGTTTATTTTGTGCTTGTTTGGTAAGAATTTTGATAATTGATTTTTTGACCTTAAAAATAAAGTAGATTTTACTTGTGAGAGAAAAAAATCAAGAACAACGACTGAAAAATCTGCACCAAACAAGCTCTTTGCCTAACTACCTAACTTTAACCTATTTACTTCCTCGTGCCAAAAATTGCTTGCTAATTAGGGCCCACAATATTTTGTGATGATCTTTTGAAAAGGCCCTATGTTGCCAAAAATATACTCCCTCCGTCTCATTTATATAGGTTGACGTTCTTTATTTTTTTGTATCAATTATATATTCATGTTTCTTTATTGAGAATGTTTTGTTTTGATCGTTTACTTATATATCCTTATTTAATTTATCTAGTTATAACGAATTTTGCTTACTTGATCTTTAAATTGTACAAATATAAAGAAGGGTAAACTAGAAAAGTTTTTAGCATAAATTTTTTTTTAAATAATATTAAATAATATTTTTTTATTCATGTGAAAAATACAAAACAAGCCTATATAAATGTGATGGATGAAATATTTGTTTTGACCAACATTTTATTTGGACTTGAACTGTGAATTCTTGACCATTTTTGAGACTGTGGAAGTTGATGCCAAAAATGTCATTTTTTCTAATTCAAGGGAAGAAAAGGGCGAGTTTGAAAGGTAAACCAACCAAGGTATCGGTTTGAAGTTGCTAAATTATTACATATAATCAACTGAATTTTAAAATTGATTTTCAATTTTCTTAATTAAATCGTTTGGTCCGGTCCAGCTTTTATAATATCGATTTTGACACATTTTTTGTACGAAGTAGAGGTACTATTGTATACCTCAATGCAGCAATATAGAGATCTCATGTTTTTAATATGATCAACTCAATTGTGATTTTGATTCCTACTGCTTGCTTAGACTATCGTTTACTTGTCAAATGATGGCCAGTCAGCAATGAATGGTTGATCTATGACCAAAGTAGCAAAATAGAGGAAGCAATAGCGGATTTGACTAGACCAACCAACTAAACGAGAGACAACAAGAGTGATTTATGCATTCATCTTAATTAAAGGAAATTTGTAGTATAAGTTTCAAACTTTTCAAAAATGTGTAGCACAGTCCAAAAACTTTTAAATAATATCACCTACATCTAGAGATGGCAATCGGGCTTCCCGGCTAGGGCTGCCCGTGGCTAGGCCTAGAAAAAACCTGAGCTGGCCCTGCTCGTAGGCACTGATCCCCATTTAAGGTGAGTTGGCTCGAGCAGGGCCAGCCCATATGGCTCGACAAGTCCATAAAAAAAATGAAAGTGAAAATCTACTGCCTTATAGCTACCTATTTGGCAGAAAATACCTACCAAATACGCAGCTAAGAGGAGAGAAATTAAAAAAAAAAATCCAGAAAACCAGTAAGGCTCAAACCGAATGCTCGGATCGAACCTTAAGTTTTTTTGCCACGCTTTTTACTCAGCTCGGCTCAGATAAAAAAAAATGTTTGCTTGAAAAAAGCTCGAACCGAGTCCGAGCCGGCTTGATTCGACTCTTTGACACCACTACCTACATCGCAAATCTTTTGAAATGAATCTGCGACAGAAGGACCTCTAACGGCTTCCATCCAAATATCTATTCATTGATCAAAAGTAAAACGTTTGGCCTTAATTTGACCAATTTTTAAAAAGGTCGAAATGATGTTTTAACATTTAATTAATTAAAAATAGAAATAAAAAACATATGATACATAAGAGAGAAAAAATAAAAAACATTAATCTTCATCCATCTGTATACCCTATCCTTACCCAGCACTATTAAGTTATGATTGGAAAAATCATGTTAACATAGCATTAACATTTATTTGGGTTCAATATAGCATCAAAACAAAGCCAGAAAATAATGTTAAGATAGTTGAAATTTAAAAAATTTCGAATGGACTCATGTTGCAAGAGGCTAAATTCATGACATTCACAACAAAGAGTGTATATCAATCAATGAAATAAAAGAATTTTAGATGTTTTCATTCTAAAATGTCCCACTAAATCTTTTTATATTTTTCTTACCAAATAAAAAATTGACGCTTACGTTATAAAATATAAACTAACCGAACCATGATCGGAATAAGTAAAGGATACATATCCACCAATGAAAAACTAAGAAATTATTTAATGAATATTATTCTAAATAAATTTGACGACCAGTAATTTCAAACAACTAAAAGCTTTGATCGAAACACGCAATCAATAATATATCATTATATGTTATTGTCCCAAAATACTATTTGATATGAACAATAATTTTCTATATCACTTCATTACATAATGAGGAATCATATCTAAAGACAAAAATCAACTAAGAATTATGGTGGTCCAAAAAAATTAAATTTAATTCATGGCCATATTTTGCTCAGTTTCAAAAATATACTTATATATAGATTAATTTATGAATAAATAAATTTTTACAAATATTCTTTTTATTGACAATATCAAATTTAGAGTATATTATTTATTTTGATCATAACATCTATTTCATGGTCAAATTAATTAATTTTTCTTGTAAGTATGAATAGGTATTATATGAAAACATATGTAGAAATAAAAATAATAATAATTACTTTTAAGCTTAACAAAACATGCAATGTGTATAATGCCTTTAACTATTAAAATAAGTAAATTTTAGATCCGATTAATATAAATTTTCTATTATAAAATTTACTTAATTACCATAAGTAAATTTAGTCAAACATGCATTAAATAAAATGCCCAATTTAAAAATAAGATATTCATGTTTCATAAATATCATGAAAATGGTATTTTATTAATTATAGCATCTTCAACAAGATCTGATTAATTAAGCATTGAGATTGTGTTAGAATTCAAATTAGAGCTGGATTAACGTAAATATTTGGATCAAAATTGAATAAATTATTTTTAATTTTCCATATGGGCTGGGTGTTGGACCGGGATATAGCCTATCATAGCCCACCATTACCTCCACCCCTATATAGCATTCAGCTAATTTCAAGGTTCTCCTCAGAATAAAAAATATTGGATTATGAATTTTTGAAGGATAGGTCCAACTTAAATCCAGAATTTGAAGATGGTTGATGTAAAAAGATTAAAGTTTGGACACAAAAGGATCAAAAGATGCAAAATGAAGAACCTATATACGGACTACGGAGCACATGAGAAAATTAGTGTATACATTTTGTTGCACAAATATCTACCAAGCAAATAATATATCATTGAAAAAACAATTGAATTTAAATTTCAATGCAAAGAACAAAATGCAATTTGGAGTTGTGGATCAACATTATGCATGATTGAAGTAATACAAAACCGAGCAAACTCAAGATTTGTCCTGCATACTTGAAATTTTCATAGCAAATTCGATATTTGACCTACTAATTTTTTCAACGAAGACTCGTTATTTCACCAATAAATCTAGAAAGTATGTGTAAGATCCAATTCAGAATTCCCTTTCCCATTCAAAAGTTGTACATTCTAGATTCAAAGTTCAACGGTAATATCGAACCACCAATTCTAATCTTGACATGTTGACACCGTATATTTTCGATTTTTACATCCCGAGAAGCAGTTACTTGCATCTTATATATGATGCTGCAATAGCTTTCATCTTGCCATCGCTGTGAGACTACCTCAAATAAGAAATGCATGAAAACATGGACATTCAAAATCATCATAAAATCAAACAATAACAAGAAATTCAATGACAAGCTAACATTAGTTCCTCCACACTTACGTACTAAACCCATGTTTGAGTCTCATTTTTTAAAAATTCTTTTCTTAAACTTATTTTTAACTACACATTCTTTTAACTTTTTAGCCACACATTCTCCAAAAAACCACTATTACAAAATTCATTTTTACAAAAAAATTGGGGCCAAAAAAACCTAAATAGTGCCCGATATTTGTCCAATGAACAAATTATTCAGAAAAAAATTACATTTTTTAACATTTATATACACGAGGACTTTGATAAATAAAAATATTGCATAGATGTGAATAATAATTACAAGGAATCCATCTAATTAAAAAAAAAAAAAAAAAAAAAAGGAAGGGCCAGACTTCCATGTCAATCAACAAATAATATTTTATTATGATCTTCCTCTTCTTCTTTTTTACAAATTCTCTTACTCCTATAATTCAAAGAAAAACCTCCCAAGTCTTCATGAATAATGCTATTTGTTCATTATCATTTACAGGTTCTTTTACAAATTGGCAAGATGGCAAAAAACAAAGTGTTGTTTTTTTTAATTGGTTGGTAAAATAAATATGTAATTTGTGATGTATATGTAGCACAATCGAATCTTCACTCTCTCAGCAACATCTCCATCTTCAAGGATTGCTCCTAAAACAAGAAACTCATTTTCATATTCGAATTGAAAACTTAAAAGAAGGGGAAGAAGAAAAGGAAAAAAGAAGTGAAAAAATGATCAGTTTGGGGTCAATTTGGGTCTATACTCATGAAAAACGAGGTGACGGATATGGCATGGTGACAATCTTCATGGTTGAGATGATGTCAAATGGGCAGTCGATTTGGAGTTGAGTGAGAGAAACAATTTGATTTTATGATTGAGAGAGAAAAAAAAAAAAGGATTTGAGGATCTGACTCAAAATTGGTAAATTTTTAAGGATATTTTCGTTATTTTTTTATAAAATTTCATTCACTTTTTTAAAAAATTACCAAGGGTCTTCAGTTTTTGGCCACTTTTCAAAATCAGGTGTCAACATTGAACACTTCCCACAAATTCCTCTTAAAACAATGACATCTCTCTCTCTCTCTCTCTCTCTCTCTCTCTCTCGTGAACAAGAAAGAGGGCCTAACCATACAATCTAATATTATCATCTCATAGTGTTGTTAAGTTTCATTTTTAATAAATTTATAATTAATAGCATACACCCTAACAAATTCGGATGTATCAAAAACACATCAGCCAACTTGCCAAAATTGATAGCAATAAAAATGAGTAAGTTAAGTTTTGCCGATTACAAAAGCTTATTTGAGCCTTTATCACCAGTTGATCGATCGGTCTAACAAGCCATCCCGCCATATGCCGATGAAGCTGATTCACATTATATACATAAATCAATTACCCAAGAATCACTAGATGAGTCCAAAGTGTACTAATATCCTATTCTACCAAACTTCTTTCACTAAGAGCTTGTTTGAAAGTGATTTTCCCCTAAAAATTAATTTTTTGATCGTCATTTCACTATTTCAACTATTATATTTGACTTCTTCTCTCATAAGTAGACCCCATTTTTCTTCTAATGGTCAAAAAATTAATTTTCAAAATCACTCCCAAACAGGCTCTAAGTCAACACTCTCAACTAATTACCAAAATACGGAGAGAGATTAAAAAAATGCATAAATCACCAAATTTATTAAGAGAAAAAAACTTTCTTTGTTGATGTAGTGGGTAGGGTTGGGGATGGGGTGGGATTGGGTCGGAGTGGCATTATATTAGACTAAGAAACATTATTTGTTGAAAACTACAGCATCAAGCTATGTAGCAGATTATACCCAACCAACCTACTCTCGACTTGGATTATATATCCAAACGGTCCGCTCAAAATCCTAGCCAAGCAGATGGCCGATGTCTAAGACAGGGCTTCAATCATGAGCCGAAGCAGCTCTAAAAAATCGAATTTGAGTACCACGTAAAAAGTTAGCTAGATAAACAAGAGAAGGATCACCTGCTCATCAAAGACTAGTCACTTTAACCTACCTTCCTAGTTTTAGTTGCCTTAACTCAAGGCTTGTCATTCCCATGGTTCAAACCTTTGTGCACAGCTCTTACTCTGGGTCTAAACTAACCGAGCTCGTCTGAAGGACTACCTTTCATATATTTCTACAGAATTCGAATACCGAATGAAAGACCAGGGCCGGATTGAGGAGTCTTTCATTAGTTGACTCCACTGTAGATGCTGGACGAGACCAAAAGGTAGTGAGCGACCCATCCCTATCCATTCCGCAAGTGCAAATGAACATAGCTTACATAAAAGACAGCTTATTTAGCTTTACTCCAAACTTTGAATAAGATAAAACCAGAATAAATCAATATGAACAGTGAAAGTACATAAAAAAGAAAGAAATGGCATATATCTGTCAAAGCAAATGAACCCTTCGTAGGATTTAAGGTTTCATAACAGAGAGCAACAAATCCTGTACAGAAAGAGCCAGTCGAACCACACATTTAGATTCTAGGGGTCGACTTTCCCGGCAACTTCATCGTCACTGGATGCAGATTCATCTTCACTCAGCTCCTCGTCACTGGATTTTTCTTCAGGTGCAGCTCCGGCATCTTCAGGCTTGGCATATCTTTCACAATACTCTGAAGATGTGCCATAGAATTTTAATCAAAAAACATGACGACGCTAATAAAAGCAAATACAGAAAGTTAACAAAAAAAGTTAAATTAACTTTAATGTATCTTGATAGCTATTTTGAATATAATAAAGAAATTTTCCCACGGGTATGAACAGCTAATAAGCATGAAAACATACATATTGGATGCAAAATCTTGACATGAATACAGGAGAGTTAGGGAAACACTAAAAATAGATAGTGTCATTATGCACATGTATGTGTATGTTTTTCCACCACCTTGCACGACATTTGTGTATGTCAGGGTATAGAAATCTTATATATATTCGTTAGCGAAGGTAGTAAAAGATCATTTCTTTTGCATTTATAAATGACCTCCAAGTAAAATCTATATATACGCCTAAATACTGTTTCACTCTTCTTTTAATCAGAGAGCATGATTATAATATTTGATCGAACGATCCCTATAAATGAAATAATGATTGAAAGAGTAAATATTAGCCATTGAAAGCAGATATCCAATCTTTACCCACATCAGTCTTCCTCACATTGATGAAAACGAGCACTTTCCTTGAGCCTGTTCTCAATGGTGAGAAGTTCCTCACTATTTTTGAGTCCACAATACTCCGTCACAATTTGAGTGTTAAGTTACATATTAAAATACCACCCCTCAACCAAAGTCCCCAGCATCCTGATTCCAATTTTATCTAAATTGGGGAGTAAATGGACTAATAATGTGGGTTGGAATTGGGTATCCGAAATTTGTGTCACAGAAAGGATCTCAGGGACTCAACAGAGTACAAAAATCAAGAATCTTTTAGAAAATGAATTCCTACTCGTAGAGTGCATCACCGAATAAATAAACTCATGCTACCTTAGGAGGTATGGGAAAGGAACCGATAGGGAATAAGTTTTATTCACATGGAAGAAGATTTTCTACATTGATTATACCTTCATGCTAAAAATATGGTCAAGCGTTCGATGTTGTTCAAGTGTCTTAGCATAAGTCCATATTTTTACTTCGTGTTTTTAAACACAAGCAAAAGAGTGGAGGACAAATCAGAAGAGACGGCTGACAAAGAGACTAATCAAATGAGGAAGCGTTCTAAACAGAGGACTGCTAAGCAACTAGGACGGGCTTTGAACCAACCGGTTGGCCAGTGTCCCACCTAACCAAACACAACACTTAGACGAGGCTGAACATCTAGCCCAGATAGGGGGCAAAGAAAAAATATAATTCTCTCAGTCATGACCAAGCATAATCATTCCTAAAACTCAACCTGGGGTTAAGACAGTCTACTAAACACTTGGCATTCCCCAAAAGATTCTAAGATCAAATCCAACATCAAGTCCCACTAGTCAAACACCAGTTCCACGTCAACCCACTGAACCAGCTCAAAAAAGCAGGAAAGTGGGTGCCAAAGAAAGAAATTTTAGCAAAGTGAAGAGGTAGGCAAGTGGGGAACTCTACCTTCAACCACGCATTATAATGAGTTCAACTAAAGGGGATCATACTCCATAAAAGCAGGAAAAATTCCACCCATGTGAGTTATTATACATCTATAAATAGGGATGTCAAAATCATTTCCACACACGTGCAATAATAAATCCCTAGTCACTAAGCTCACACGCATTAGAACTCAATCTTGTTACATGTACATTAACTTTGACATCATGAATAACATTCTTGTGACTTAATAAATTTTTTATACATTGATTTTAACAAAACTTTAAACAACTAATGAGACATGACACAGATAACAATGTCATCTAGGAATGTACATCTAGATTCATTCATTAGAACTATATTAATACTTTTGAAAAAAATTCCATTATCTGCTCAAAAACTGACAAGAAAACACCACTCTCTCTTTCAGTTCTTACCCAGTAAATTGAATTTAAGTGAGTTAACCCAGATAGAGACTTGGCTTGGCAGGAAGTGTTGTCTATATTAAGCTCATGCCTAGTAGTCTGATTTCGTGTCACTAAAGACAGTGTGAACTGCCCAGGATAGAGAACCAAAGGCTTATGAGCTCGTGCTTTGAGAATGGCTCTAGCCTACCTAAGCTAAGCTTAATTCAGTTCAATCCATTGCACTCACCGTTCTTGTTATTGGACTTTGCTTTTGGGTTCGCGACTATCAAAGTGTAACAGGTCAGTAACTCACGATTGTTGAGGTTCTTAAATTTTCAATATCTACAAGGTTTAGCCAAATCCAATCAAACAACAATTTCAAATCTTTATCATAATTGTCCTTGTAAATTTATCACAAACAGCTCACATCAAAAGAAGGATAACGAATTTTTTTCTCATTTCAAATATCCTAACTTGAATCAGATCTTCTAAGTTAATTTCTCTACTTGAACTTGAGTTCCAATCCCTCCTGCATGTGCTGCTGCATTTTCAACTGAGCAAAAGTTAATGAGTTGATAGTTAGTCTATCATAACTTCCTCCCTTTCCCTCCTGTTCCTTCATCTATTAAGTGAGACTGAAGTTCCTCACATCATGAGAAATCCTATTTTCAATTCCTCCCCTCCTCAAGTCGTTTCTTTTTCGACTATATAGACAATTATAGAACAAGCAACTAGTTAAAGAAATGACGAGGACCAAGTAGTTAGTGTGGGCTTTTACGTGTCAAAGCTGCTGCTCACCATGTTTTTATATTTCATAAATGATGATGAATATATTCCTCTTCTCAGATAGGCTTATTAACTCAATGATGGGGATAGAGACATATTATTCATAACTTCCGAGTTATTAAGAACTAGAAATTCTTAGACAAGATGAGCCAGTTTTTACAATTAAAATTTGATGTAAATATCCTAGATATGTTAGATTCTCAGATATTACAAGACTGGGCTGAAACCTTTTCAACTTCAAACAGACTATACGTCGATTACAGTTGAACCATGATTGAGAAGTCATAAATAGGATGCTACACTTTCTTGCCATTAGTTACAAATCTGAGCCAATTCGCATATTGGGACTCCAAATTAATTTCCTACACCATTTTCACTGAAGATTGCACAAAATGAAAATACTTACAGCCATAGGCCAGTCTACATATCATCTTTATTCTGAATGCCATTGCAGATACTGTACAAAGTGTTGGAAAAATAAGAGATTGAATGAAGAACTTATTCATTCTAGAATGGAAGAAGAATGAAATTTATGTGTACTGTAATTTGTCTTTTAGTTTATAAGGCTATGACAGTGCTTGAGTCTTTTGGTTCAAAAGAGACCATGAACAAGAGGTATTTCCCTCCCTTTAGAATGTCACACCCTTTCATCTCTCGTAGCTTTTCTTCTAACAGTTCTCACCTGTCATTTAAAAGTTGAAATTCTTTGAAAGCCATGATCTTTGGGTGAACGGTCACATCTAAAGTCTATAAATTGGGGTTTCCTATTTACAAAAATCAACCAACTTTCAGATTGTTTACTCTCTTCAAATCTCAAAATTTCTCTCCTAAATTACTGCTTTTCTTATATTTGGTTGGCAGTTCAGTTTTTGTTAACCGGTTCCTTTGTGTCAGCATAGTCAAGTCCTTCAGAACTAAACTTGTTCTATCCTGAGATGCAATTGCTCAAAGACCTTCAGCACTAGGGGAGCAAAATCGTCTAAAGGAGAGATTGTGATCGATCAGCTCAGATATTTTCAGATTAATTTTTGCATAAACTGTAAGTTGAATCTTAATGTGTTTATGATTCAGTTATAATGCATTGTTATATATTGCAGTACATTACAAGTACTGCGTGAACAACACAAAGCAACATTCCAAATGCCGTTCTTAGAAAAGGGACCGATCCAGTGTATAAGGATATATGGTTCCATCGAAACAAACAAAAAAGCAGTTGTCTATCAAGCTCAGAGAATAATTCAAATGTATCATATGTTACGGCACACATGGCAGCCAGGCCATTAATGAACGAAAACAAGTTTTAATAGAAAACGATGTGTGTTGGACCAATTAGGGACCACCACCTTGTCCAAGTGACAACAATTTTTAATAAAGATGAAATTATAGGATATAAGAAGTGGGCAAGTTTAAGTTAGATATTGTTGTATGAATTCGAAATTGGTTTTTTACATATTTGAATACGAAAATAGTAAGGGATGCGGCTTCAACACAAACTTCTTTAGTGGTCAGAAATAGCTCGATACAGGCAGCATATGGTTCTACAAACCATGAAGATAAATACAAACTAAAATTCGTGAAGAGCTAATTAACTGAAATACTTAAGTATCAAGTGGCATATAGTACTCAGATTCTGTCCATCCAGAATTGGAAGTCTCAATGCCCCAAAACTTGTGAGCGACTCAAGTTAAAAGAGGAATAGGGAAAGAAGCAAGGATATATAGAAAAGAAAATGCATGCAGTTAAGTGATACTTATGTGCAATCCCATGTGAATCGCTAGAAATGTGAAGTGTATGGCTAACCCAATAACGAAGGTTTCGAAAAGGGACTGGAGCAGATTATTTCACTTCTATTTTTATCATTAGTATACTTTAGGCAATTATACAAATAGGCAAAGAAAATAGAGGAAGATTTTCAAAATTTATTCCAGCCAGTTTAAAAGATATGTCTACCAGGATGCTAAACTACTTAAAATTTTCTACCTTTAACTTTTTGGTCATAACCATTGCGATCCCGCATCATTAGAGCTGCTGCCTCTCCATTCAGAGGATCTGATGGATTTGGGTATAAAAGAAGTTGCGGAAGAAAGACTTCAAACACATTTACTAGATCTGAAAAGAAAGAAATACCCCAATCAAGCTGATGAATCTATCATTATGTTTGAATACCAGTAATTTAGGAAATACCCCAATCAAGCTGATGAATCTATCATTATGTTTGAATACCAGTAATTTAGGTTAAATTAACAAGTCCATATGCCCGCCAAAAATGCCAAGAATGTCCACTTACCAAATGCAGGAAATTGCTAAGAGAATATCAACTTACCAAACATAGGACTCCATGTCTGATTTATGACATCTAAACACACTGAGCCCGACCTGGTAACAAAACACGAAAATGTAGCACTTGAAAAACTTTCATCCAACAACCTTTGAGTGAATACCGTCATTTGAACAAGGTAGATACTGGGTTAGACAGTTTGTGAACTCACATTTCATCAACATTTGGATGGTATATCTTGTTGATAAAACCAATTGATGGAGATTTATATGGATAAGCATCTGGAAGCTCCACTCTTATCCTCCACACACCACCTTGATAAGGGCCTGCAAATACAATCGAATTGGAAAAAAGTACCATTTTTGATCAAATGTAACACCAACTAAGCCATCAACAAAAGGACTTCGTTTCTCGTTGAGACAAATTAGCAAACAACGATCCTGCCAATTCAAACCCTAATACAGCATCAACCATGTCAATCATCTCATATCCCTTCTCAGAAAAGACTTTCTATCAAACTTATAAAGCTAAAGATGCGCTCAAAAATGAATTAGTACAATCAGAATGTACGGAAAATTTCACGGAATTTAATGAAACCAAGAAATGAAATTTAAGATTGAACTCAAGACCAATCTGCAATCCAAGTTTCAAAGAACTCCAATTCGAGATTAAACATGAGTATCTATTACTTTATCAATTGAAAGTTATTAATATACTATTTTTTCAGCTCAATTACAAAGCTACGCAAGTCAAACACAGCTCAAACTATTAATCTTTAAAAATACAAATTAGATAAAAATAAATAAAACTCAACATAAATATAGACATAAGGCTTCATATAGATCGTAAAATGAAGGATAGCGATGGGTTTTATTAGAAATTATTACTGTCTTTAGGCCCATGAAACTCCACATAGAACTCTTGCATCCCATCGTTGATCATCTCCACCTTATAATCGCTCATCATCCTAGTACAAACCAATCCGAAAAATAAAAATTATCCAAAAATAATTATATAAAAACCCAGCTAAAATAGTTACATGTATTTGAAAAAATTAATAGATTGAAATTTCATTTACAGTTTCATCAAATCCATTTCTCTGCGTTTGCTTGGGGAAGACATATCTCTCGATTTTTTTTAGCTCCTTTAACTACTCCTGGACTGAAATTTGATAATGGTTTTTATGCGTGTATATCGACAGATGAACTGTGCTTAGATAGAGAGAGAGATAGAGGGTCTCAAGGCGGTTCAGACATCAATGCGCAAAATGAAGCCTGTGCTTTAGATATAGAATTTTTTTTTTTATATTTTTCTTATTTTTAGCAGCACATTCATAATAAAATAATATTAAATGTAAATTAAAAAAATTTCCTTATTTTTTAACCATACATTTTTCCACAAAATAATATTTAAAATTATATTTTTATAAAAAAAAATGTGGCTCAAACAAAAAATTTCTATTTTTGCATAATATTTTTCGTTTACTATAATACTAATTGGTGATTGAGTTGATGTATTTAAATTTTAGATACGCAATTATTGACTCAATAGATAAATTTAGATACGCAAATAAACATTTTTAATTGTAGAATTTAAGTCAAATTATTTGTAATATATTAAAATAATAATTTAATTATTTAAAATAAAGATTCCATGGCCTTTGGAAAGAAGTCAAAATAGGACAATGAGTGGATACCAAATAATCAAGTGCATTTTGGCTTTTGGTTGGCTCAAATTTTATATTGACGAATTTCACTAGTCATTCCAATTTTTTTTCTTGTAATAGTATCAATTTCTTCCATGTGAAAAGTTTAAGTGAATTTCGCCTTTCATGAATAACTCTAACATGTTCTGTACTTGTTTTAGTTTGTTCATAGTCAACCTTAAATAAGAACGCTTCGTTCAATCGGAAAATCACATAAATTATAATGTGTATGTGTTTATTTATTATTATTATTATTATTATTATTTTGGTTAGATTCGAAGAAACTCATTTCATTTCATTGGCCCCCGACGAACTTTCGAGACAATGTATTTTTGCTACTGAAAAAGGGGAAGACCTTAAATGTTCAAATGAATAAAAGTTTACGTCTTTTTCATGAAAATTGTGTTGATTGTGAAACTTCTTATGACACTTGATTTTGAAGACATTATGAGTTATTGTGATAAGTCTATAGTTTACCAAAAAAACAAGAAGGGATAATTGTAGCAGAAGCCTCAAATATTTGATTTGTTGCAACCGTCGCTCTTAACATTTCCAAACGTTGCATCTGAAACTCTTTTGGACAGTTTTCATCCACAATTTTGTCAGTTGACCAGAAAAATGATTTTGACCACATTTTAACAAATTTTAAAGGGACAAAATGATAATTTTACGTTAAAATCAAAATTTAAACAAAAAAAAAAGAAAGAAAATAAAATTGGTCTTCTTCCCTAACCAACCTCCATCCCACAACAAATTTCATTTTGACAGCATCTTTAAGTTCCTTCCTTAACCCTTTCTAGCTTCTCTGGGCGCTTGAGCAAAGACGACAAAGCCCATTCTATGGTCACAGTAGATCGACATTTAGTATAAGCTGCCATTTTGCAAATTCATATACCACGATATGATATTTGCTTAATTCATGTTTCTAAAGGACAGAGGGAAACAATTGTGACTTATCATTGTTACGTGTTTGTACACTTGGACAATCCACCGGGGGCCCACAGCCAACTTATGCTGAACCACGTGGCACTGAAGTCGAGGTGATTTGCATATCCGAGGCCCGTAAACCGAGGTCCACAGAAGTCTAGGCCCATATATACCGAAGCCCATCTATCATTGCCTCTTGAGGAGCTTCCAAAGCCCATACTCCGAGGCTCTTTGAAGGTGGACGAGGCCAATAGCTCTGTAGCCGAGGTAGCAGCCTCCGAATCACAAAGCAGCGTCTTCCATAGACGCTTCTCCCGAGAGATCCTTTGCACTAAGATCTTACTTGAATGATTGATAGAACGTTTGTCATAAGTGTAATATTAAGTCTTGTCACTAGTAGAGGCGGTTCTGCCAATCAATAAATGTATAACAAGCTAAGTGCGGCTGATGCCTACCATTTGACATGTAAATTAACCAGATGAGGCCACGTGTACCCCGAACCAAAGGTCACGATCTAACTTGTAATGCTATAAATACTCCCTCATGTACTTCATACAAAACCTAATGTAAGAATCAATACAAGATACCATTGAAGGCCCAAGAATAACTAACCAAGAGGGGGGTGAATTGGTTATTTGAAACTTTTTTCTAAAATAAACGCAAATTTAAGCAAATAACTATGAATAAACAAGACAACATAAAAGTAATAAGAGGAAGGGAAAAGAGAGTGCAAACGATGTAATAAGGCGGTTCGATCCAATCACAATCTACGCCCCCCGTTATCAAGCTCTCCGTCACGAGCAAGACCTTTTTCACTATCTTTGATTGACTTATGGTGCAATCCAACCCTTACAATGCTTCCGGTGACTTGCAACTAAGGAGCGCCGATCCTTTTACACGTTGAGCTTTCTGGAACCTCAACTCGACTCACAAGAAAATCAAAGTTACAATTGAAAGGTTTCTCTCTTAACAAATGGTATGAACACAACTAAATATCAAGAGAGAATTAGGCACAAACACTTCAATAAATCTCAAAGAATATAGCTCAAGTGTTGTGTGAAAAAACTTTTATTGAGATATATGATTTTTCAAAAGGTTACTCACTCAAAAAGTTTTTCAACAGATAGATATTTTGATCTCTTAAAGATTGAAAAACAAGGTAGATAAGATCAATAAATAACTCTTTTTAATGTTCTAAAAGCTTGCATTAAAAGAGGTATAAAGAGAGGTATTTATAGCCATCAATCTGGAGATTCGGACAAGTGATTCAGACGTTCTCTTATTATCCAGACGATTAACTAGCCATTTGCCAAACGGTTAAAAAATGTGACCTTTGGACATTGCATCCGGACGTCCAGAAGACCCCATCCGGACGTCCGGATGGGCCAATTATTTTCCCATCGAATTTTCATTTTTCGTGAAAAATTTCCTTTAAGGTACTTGAACGGTTTTTTTATATACTTTATATAGATAAGTAATTTCATAAAGGTCTAATTGTGAAAATCAAATTACTTATATTTTGAAAATAATTTTTATGCAAGTAAAGTTTGTCATGATAATAATCGTGCATAAAAATTATTTGAGCTATAATCGATACGAAATATTAAAGTGTTTTACCTTTACACTTGAGTATACAAATGCATCTATAGCTAATGTCTTCAATTTCTTCATCCAATGCAATTCGATGCGTGAAAGCTCGATATCCATTTCCTTGTTCGTAAATCTTGTGTGTATATCGTTTTGCGTCAAGGTTGCATGATTCCCGATCTAGATCTTTCATGTCATGAATTTGTAATAATCACTATCAATCACTTAAATTCAATTTGTTAGAATCAAACGCAATTTGTTTGTAATAATCAAAACAAGAAGTCAGCCATTAGGTCAACAATTTCCCCCTTTTTTATTATGACAAACGAGATGATTTTTGCAAAATAAATATTGAACAAATTGAATCGGCATCAAATAATCAGGAGCATAATTTTGTTTATTGCAATTAATATTCCCCCTATCAACATTCATATAACATTTAATAACATTCCCCCTTACTATGTTGTTCCTATGTTGCATAATCATCTGCTCATCTTCCCCCTTTTGCCACAAGCAAAAAGATATAATACGTTAAATAGCATAAAAATATCATTTAAGAAGTCAACCATCCAAAATATAAAAGAGCAATAGATAATAACTAACATGAGAATAATAGTAAGCAAGAAAGTAAACTAAGGGGGCTGAGGTGGAGGCAGAGGAGGAAATCTAGCATAAAACTCGGTGAAAAATGCAGCATGCTGAGCCTGTATCTCAGCCTGTCACTGCTGCATCTCGAGTTGTTGGTCCTGAATAGATATCTGTGGAGCCTGCATCTGGAGAAGTAGGCTACTCATGCTGTCAACCGATGAAGTAAGAAAATCAATCTGCCATGGAGGAGATTATATTGCTCCTCGGTAAATGTAGAACGCTCTCGGGAAGGAGGAGGCACACTCGAGCCTGGAATGTCAGATGCGGGAGCAGGAACTTCAGGTACTTCTTCATCTGATTCGGCTTCATCTTCAAATGAGAGAGTGGATGGACCGGATGTAGGATCGAACTCTTTCGTATGAGCCACCCATTGCCCATGTTCCTTTACTATTTTCATCCGTTTTAAGGTCTGAATGTTAATAGTATCGGTAGGGCGTAATTTTATAAAATCTTCACCGTCCAATGAAACATTAAAATGCTTAAAAAATTTTGTGAGAAGCATCCCGTAAGGTAAAGCTTTGGTGTGTTGTGATGCATGCACAAGCTTCATAAGGCCAAGTGCAATAGTAGAAAAACCAATTTTACGCCCGACTAGTAGAGAATCCAAAATAAAGAGATCGAAGTGATTGACTTCGTCTCGACGACCTTTGCGGGGAAAAATAATGTGAGCAATTATATTTTGCAAAACCTTGCATGGAAGTATTAATTGATGTGCACTAATTTTTGTGATGTTCTCTAAGTCTTTCCCCGTAACTTGACGACATGCCTCAGAAGGATCGTATCCTTCTATGGTTGGTGGAGACTTATGTAAAAACACTTCTAAGTCACAAGGCTCGAGATTAAGTAGTTGACGAATTAATGCTTTTGAAATTGTAAACCGAACATTTTCAACAAAGCAAGCGATTTCGTTTGAACGTGGAGTAAAATTTGTTTTTTGATAAAATTCTTTCATAAGGCGTGGATAAGCGTGTTCTTCCATCGTAGTCACGGTTATCCATCCCATACATTCAAAACATTCTTCAATATGAAAGGCGGGAGCTTCTATTGTAAAATCCATAAAATCAACATTCTTACCGATTAAAACGGGCAATTTTTCAAAAGGGTTCGGTGGCTCCTTTGGTTCCAAATCCATCTCATCATCCGATGGTGAAGGGGGTCATTGCACAATTTTTCATCCCTATTTTCCACGTGTAGAACTTGACATGATTGAGAAAAAAAATGGAGAATCCCCTAAAAAAAAAATAGTCCAACAAAAAAATTCTAGTGTTTGAACAATTTTCGACCAAAAAATGAGAATTCGGAAGAGAAATTTCAATGTATTGAGAGGGTATTGAAATCCCATTAATATATACTTGATATTGGCAAAAAAAATCCCCAAAATAAAGTATAAAAGGACAAGGAAAGTG